GAGAATAGTGCAACAATGAATGAGTGGAAGCCCAAAATCTCTGTAAATGTTTATGAAAATTAATAAAATATAATTATAGAAAAAAAAAAAAGTTCTAATTCACCAGCTACCCCATGGGAGAAAGATGGACAGTCTCCTATGTGATTTACAGACTCTGAAATCCCACTGGGTGGTTAGCTATGACTTGAGTCGGTTCTGACTTAAGAATCCATTCTAACACATAGCAACCCTCCAAAGGGTTTGCAAATAAGTAAATCTTAAGAAGACTGGCTTCATTTGCTCCTGCAGAATAACTGGTAGGTTTAATTTTTCAGTTAGATGCCCCACACTTAATATATTATGGTACGGTACCAGGGATCCTTAATGATACAAAGTCTGTTGTGTTTAGACAAGACTATAGTAGTAGAAATCCATTCTAAAAATAAGATGGATTGAATGAATGAGCTGAGAGAGAGATGCAGGTTTAGTAGTAATACACTCATGTTGAGATCCAGATGGTGACCCATCAACAAACGAATGGCTAGAGAAGCTGTGGTATATTCACACAATGGAATACTATGCTGCATTGAAAAATAAGGAACTTATGCAGTATTATTCAAAATGGGTGACCCTGGAGGACATTATGCTGAGTGAAGTATCTCAGTCACAGAAGGACAAATACTTCATAGTTCCACAGTTATAAAACAGGACTGATCTTGGGTTTTGGGGGAGACTGGGAAAAATGGGTTCAGTAATGTATACTGCATTGAAACAGATGAGGGATAAAAGTGTTTAAAAGGCATATGTGATTAGGTATTTTTGTCATGACAGGAGTCCAGAGTGAAGGCTGCATAGCATAGGAGTAGACCTGGGGGAGGGTTTGTAAAACAATGAAAGAATTTTTCTTTTGCTTTTCCAAGAGGGTAGTGTACTAGGGGGGAGGGTTGGGAGGGGAGAAAAGTGCAACAATGAATGAGTGGAAATCCAAAGTCTCTGTAAATTTTCATTGAAATTAGTAATAAATGTTAAAAAAAAAAAAGAAATGGGGGGGGGGAGATCCAAGTGGTGAATATGCCATATTCACTATAAAAGTTTTTCAACTTTTCTGTATATTTGAAATTT